GGGCATGTAATTTGATGCCCTCAGGTAGCAGTTTACATGCGTCCATTGCCATGACTAGAAAAACACCCAAGATTCATGTGGTAGGAAGCATGAGCAGGATTATTCAGATAGAAGTTATCATGTCAAATGATGAAACAAGGTAAGGCTGGAGAGTTTATCTAATAGAGGTATCATCTGTAACTGCAGTGGTGATTCTGTATCTCAGAAGGATGTCCTAATTTTGTTAACTCCTTCTTACAGTGTCATTTGTAAAAAAAAAACTTGTTATTATGAGAAATCCAAACCCCATAAAGAAGAATAGTATGATGAATCTCCAGGTACTCATTACTAGCTTCAACAATTATCAATATTTTCCATATTTGCCCACTTTATCTGCCCATCATTTTCCTATCTCAAACTAAGTTTTCACCCATAAATACTTCATTATGCATTTCCAACTTTTAATGACTTAAAAAAAAACCCAACTACAATGCTATTCCCATACCTAAGAAATTAGGTTAACATTATTTAATATCCACCTAGGTTCAAATTTCTCCAATTCCTTCAAAGCTGTTATGGTTGTTTGAATCAAGACCCAAACAAGATCCACCAAGCATTATATTTCCTTGGTATGTGTCTTAATTTCTTTCATTGTGTAAAATTCCCTCCTCCCTTTTCCCCTTTCATTGATTTGTTGGAAAAATTGGATAATTTTATCCTGACATTATGAAAACAACTTAAGATTTTATTGCTGTGAGGTTTTTTTTCTTTTGCCCTTAGGCTATATCCCATTAGTAATTCACAGTTAATAGCACTATTTTAAGAGTTACCGGTACTTCATTTACAATACATTTAGAGGGCGCCTGGGTGGCTCAGTTGGTTAAGTGACTGCCTTCGGCTCAGGTCATGATCCTGGAGTCTCGGGATCGAGTCCCACATCGGGCTCCCTGCTCAGCAGGGAGTCTGCTTCTCCCTCTGACCCTCTTCCCTCTTGTGCTCTCTATCTCTCATTCTCTCTCTCTCAAATAAATAAATAAAATCTTTACAATACATTTAGAATAGTTGTGTAAGAACTATCTGGATAATTGTTAAAGAAAAAGCAATGACATTATTATGACAAACAAAGCTTCTCAACTCTTCAGAATCTCTAAGCAATTTGATGATAATTTGTTTCTTTAATATGATATATTTAAACCATTCTTTTCTTATACTATCCTGATTCAGCAACTGCAACATATTGAATAGGAAAGTTATTTTTAAAAAAAACTTTAAAATTAAGGAAGGAAATGTGTTTTAAAAGTAGGTAGGGACCACTGGAGAAGTATTACTGCAATGTGAGCAAAAAATAAACTAATGAAACAATCAAAATTATGTATTATTTCTATTCAGGGCCATTAACTTTTCTGTGAAATAAAAGTTTTGTGTTCAGATAACAAGGAGAAAGCACTTCCAATATTTTTTTACTTAAGCTTTGGTCAGATCATAGCTTTAATAATAATAGTTGAATAATTGATCCAGAAAAGCTGGATTATTGGTAAATGAGAACATATAACCACAGACCACTACATACATTATTATTTCCAAATGTAAAAAGACTGAACAGGAATATTAACATGAGAAGACTTCTCCTTAATCAGGGAGAAACTTGCCAGGTGATATTTAATGACAGAAAACACTATAGCATCATAGCAAGTTCTCAGAGTCAGACAGATCTAGGAGAGATGCTCAGCTCTACCATTTATTAGTTGGTGACCCTAGTGAATTCATTGAACCTCTCCATAGATGTTGATTTGCTCATTTCTAAAGATACCTCATAGGTGTACTTCTAAGATTAAAAGTGTTAACATAATGTATGATGCATAGTAAGTGCTTTTTAAAAAGCTTTAAAGATACTCTACAACCAACAGTTCTAAAACTAAGAGTAGTTATAGTACAACACTCCAACTCAGAAAATAAGAGGAGCAATAAACTTTAAAGACAAAACAAACTTAAAACATCTCAAACAAGATTTTCATGTAATAGATTGCAAACAATGCATAATTGTTTGAGATAAACCACAAGACATATACATTCCATGCTTTGCGGAAGTTTCCTAGAGCTAAAGCTGGATCCATTTCTCTGTGAAGAAATTTGTTCTAGGACTTTAACAATATTTGAAATACTATGAAAGCAATTTTCTACAAGTAACTCAGGATGAATTTCATAATAAAAATATACCTTTACAATATGAGCGTTTATTTTTCATCCTTTATCAGAAACCAAAATCATTCTGACAGGAGGGATATTCTTCCACTTCCCTCCCTGTGCTCTGAAACTTCAGATTAGGGAGAATTGGCTTGAGGAACTTGAATTCATTGGTCCCCGAGTCTCCCCTCAGACACACCTCGTACTGGTAGCTGTGGGACAGGGTCCCCGCGCCGCTGACGTCCACCAGGTGGCCCGGAAACGGGCCCTCGGC